GGGCCGCGGCAGGGACGGTCTGCAAACTACCAGCCTTGGCGGGGCCGCGCGCAGCGCGTCCACACTCAGCCCCGACGCAGCAGAGACGCTCCTCTGGGAGCTCAGTAGACCGGGGCGGGAGTCCGTCCTCAATTCCTGGCAACCCTCCCCTAGTCGACCTCACCAACTTCTCCCCGCTTCTGGGCTCGTGGCTCTAGGAGGCAGAAATTCCGGCCGGGGACGTTTGGCAAACTCCCCGCCCCTGGCCTCGGGCTCAGCCAATTCGGAACGCCCCAGCTTCTCAGGGGCCGTCGGCAAACTCTCAACCCTGTCTAGGAGGACTTCTCTCAGAGCCACTCTGTTCCGCAGCCCAAGGGGAGAAAGGAGCGAGCGCGGGACCTCCGATCGAGGTCATAAATAATATTCTAACAAGGTCAGGGGCGGTGTGCAGATATTGATATGACAATGCATCCTCCGGAGTGGCGCAGTCCAAGCCCCAAAGGACAAGGGGCCTTACAGCAGCGAAGCCCAGTGATGGGGAGACTGTGGTCTCAACCATCTTAGGGGTGCAGGCAACTTTAACAAAACGCCCTGAGGCTGTTTACTCTTTCTTAGAATGCATTACACAAAGCAGTTTGTATACAGCCATTTGGTTTTCGTGACCTAGGGCAAGCCACTTAACCATTTGAATTCATCTTTATCTATGAGCATAATAAATGCTGCTTCATGAGGTTACTGTGAAGATGATATGAAATATATGTGAAATACTTAGGGATATCTGGCACTTAATAAATGAAATCCATTCTTCCTTCTCTGCCCTGTTCCCACTCGCGGATTTTAGGAACACTCCAGATGAGCTAGCTGAAAACTGCACTGTTGTAAATTCACAAATAAAACACATCCTGTGCCCTGAAGGCAACCACAAAGAACATTGACTGACATGACAGATTAAATCCAACCAAGCCCCAGGAGAGAGAATGCCATACATTTACATCGATAAGCATTATAGTTTATTGTTAAGTAGTATCTGGAATGGAGGAAGAGTGGGCTATTAAGTTCTTGGTAGATCATAACCCCAGCAAGTTCCAGACCCCATAACCAGTCACTACATCCAGACCTCATAAGGATTCATATTCAGTTTCCTCTGATCTGCCCTGCAGGACTTCACCCCTACTTCGTTGTCCTCTCTGGGGTCTTATTTCTTGGACTTAGATTACCCCCACCCTACTACCCACCCTCCCCACCAGAGGCATTTACAAACTGAGAATCATGGAATTTTTAGACCCTAGAAATGATTCAGTCCCTCTCCTTCATTTTGTAAGTGAGCTCATAGCTGGTTGAGGTCTCCTGACCCCAGGACCTTAATAGGGCACATCCATAGCCTCTCCTGCACTGAGCAAGTTCTGGGCTTTGGGCACCTTATGTCAATCCTGTCTTCAAGCTTAGCTGGAGGAAATGGCTCTAACGCTTCCTGACCAGATGAGCCCCAAATTATCAGCCATTGGCTCCTCAGCTATTATGAACTGTCAAGTCAAGATACTAAAAAACCACAGGGAAATCTGCAAGGCCAGGATGACTAAGAAAAGACCTTTTGGTGAAATCCCAGTAATGTTCTGAGGCACGTATTTCCCTCAGTCCCTTGGGAGAAAATAGAGTCTCTAGCTCTCCCCAAGCACCAGGAGGGAAATAGAAGAATGGTGACATCTGGTGGCCGGGACTTGCTGTACTTCATACAGATCATGCAGATTCTAATCATAATAGATCGGATTTGAAGGCAAGTTCCCACGGGTGGCTAATAATGGTAACACCTGGTTGCCTAGAGATTTCTGAAAGGCATCAATCATTTCAATTTTATGAACCCGCTGCTATAGAAGATATTACAGATGATTTTGTTTCAGGATATTTTTTATAAAAAGTATATGTGTATATAGAGAAATTAAGTAAATTCGCTTGTATACACAAATATGCATTTTCCATATTTGTATTACATATTCTATTTATTTATATAAATAATATACCTGCAATGCCTTTAAGAAAAATTAATACTATCTAAATTGTTTTCCCCACAGTTAAGATTACAATTTTTATTATTCATTGCTAAAGGACACTGTTTATAGACATAAGGATGCTTATTAGGATGCAGCTGTACATTTCATCACATCCTCTCAAGAGACAGTTCATTACAAACTTGGGAAGAAAATAACATAACAGGATTTCAATAGTGAAAGCCCTGGCAGCTGATGGCCAAGGTCATGCATTCCTGGTGAAAAGAGATTCACTTTTAGCATTTCCACCGCTTGCAAACAACGGGTATCAGGTTAAAAAAAGAAAGATACTTAGGACAATTTCACAACAATGCAACAGTGTCTGTTGGTATTGCTAAGTCTACTCTAACTGTATTGCTTCATTTCTTTTCATTTGTCTGTCACATGTATAATACTTTAAATAATCACTCAATTATAAGCATAGTAAACACAGCTTTTTACATATAATCAAGTATAGTCAGCCCTCTGTATCTGCACATTTCGATCTGTGATTGATTGAATCTAAGGATTTAGGATCCTCCGAATCCATGCTTACAGAGGACCAACTATATATTGTTTCTCAGCATCTCTTACGAAGCTCTATGTGAGTTATATTTTAACAATTCATGGAGCAGATTTTACTATACCTATTTCATAGAAAAAGAAGCCAAGACTTAGAAAAGGTAAGTAATATACTTACAGATAGGCAATGTTGATCAGGATCAGAGCCAGGATCGAACCCAAAGTTTGCCTGACTCCAAAGCCCAGAACCTTTCTATTACGCCATGCTGTTCACCCCAGACAACCAGGAAGAAAGGAAGATCCAGCAGAAAGTACTGTAAGTAATACCATAAATATTAAAGGGGATATTTAAGGTGCCCTACATAGACCAGGTTTCTTGACCTATTCAAACTGCATGAAAATAATAAGCAACAAAAATAACAATTATGTATGTAAACCTTATAAAGCTGGGACCCATGTGGTTCAGTCTTTGAACTGGTGTCTGTGAAATAAACAAAGGAAATATTTTTCTGCCCAGGACCTGAACTCTAATGGCTTGAGGAATTATCCACTATGTAATCTTGGTGCAAGATAAAACCTCTGATGGTAAAGGTGCTTACCAAATTTTTAGGGCAGCGTTGCTAGTGGCAGTGCCATAATGTTCATGATGTACGCTGTGATGCCTGGCAGATAGTAATCCAGGTGACAGTGTTTTCACCTTGCCAGATTTTAGGAGTTCTTTCTATATGCATTCCTCTGGCCTCCACCTTCTTCTTCTTTCTTGTTTCTTCTCTTTTTTTTTTTTTTGAGACAGGTTCTCACTCTTTTGCCCAGGCTGGAGTGCAGCGGCATAATCACAGCTCACTGGCAGCCTCGACCTTTGAGGCTCAAGTGATCCTCCCACCTCTGCCTCCCAAGTAGCTGTGACTACAAGTGCAAGCCATCACACCCGGCTAACTTTTTAATTTTTTTTATAGAGATGGGGTCTCTCTATTTTGCCCAGGCTGGTCTTGAACCCCTGGGCTCGAGTGATCTTCCTTAATTGGTCAGAGTAAGTTTCTGTTGTTTGTGGTTAAGTAACCTGACTGATACAGACATTTGAATTAACAGGCATAGACCCTAAGGGAAATAGATGAAATCAGGGATAGGTTATCTAGCCTGATTAAGGTTGAGGGTTGAAAACTCAACTTCTTTAAAGGTCTTTGATGCAAGTAGCCCATGGTATACAGTGGCAAAAGTTTGTTATCAACTGTATACATCTACAATGAAGTACCCATTGAAATCAAGCTTTGGGGTAACCAAGTGACAACTGAGCAATAAGACTTAGGAATAAGAGTCTCACAATAAGACCGTGAGAGTAAGGTGGTTGTTTTTAATGGAGCTGAACAGCTTTTTTTTTTTTTTTTTTTTTTTTTTTT